AAAGGGCACAGAAAAACGGGACCTGGAAAAATGAAATTGAAGAAGACACAGAAAAAATGTGGATTTGCTCCTCTGATTTTATGGGTTTTTCTTCAAAAAAAGGGATTTTAGTGCAGGTTTTTGGCTGGGTGGGAATTGCTTCCCAAATCTGGGCGGGAAAGCCTCAAAATTAGGGAATTGTTTGATGGGAGGGAGAAAGGGCATGGAAAAATGGATCTGGAAAAACGCAATCTGAGGAAACACAGAAAAAATGTGGATTTGCTCCTCTGATTTTATGTTTTTTTGTTGAGGAATTTCAGTCCAGGTTTTTGGCTGGGTGGGAATTGCTTCCCAAATCCGGGCGGGAAAGCCTCAAAATTCGGGAATTGTTTGATGGGAGGGAGAAAGGGAAGGGAAAAACTGGATCTGGAAAAACGCAATTAAAGAAAACACGGTAAAAACGTGGATTTGCTTCTCTGATTTTATGGGGTTTTTTTGAAGAGGCGTAATTTCAGTGCCGGTTTGTGGCTGGGTGGGGCGGGAATTGCTTTCCAAATTGGGTGTAGAAAGTCCCAAAATTAGGGAATTGTTTGATGGGAGGGAGAAAGGGCATGGAAAAGCGCAATTCGGAAAAATGCAATGCAAGAAAACGCGGTAAAAATGTGGATTTGCTTCTCTGATTTTATGTTTTTTTGTTGAGGAATTTCAGTCCAGGTTTTTGGCTGGGTGGGAATTGCTTCCCAAATCCGGGCTTAAAAGCCCCCAAAATTAGGGAATGGTTTGATGGGAGGGAGAAAGGGCATGGAAAAACAGGATCTGGAAAAACGCAATGCAAGAAAACGCAGTAAAAATGTGGATTTGCTCCTCTGATTTTATGTTTTTTTGTTAAGGAGAAATTTCAGTGCAGGTTTTTGGCTGGGTGGGAATTGCTTCCCAAATCCGGGCTGGAAAGCCCCAAAATTCGGGAATTGTTTGATGGGAGGGAGAAAGGGAACGGAAAAATGGGATCTGGAAAAATGCAATGCAAGAAAACGCGGTAAAAACGTGGATTTGCTTCTCTGATTTTTGGGGTTTTTTTGAAAAGGCGTAATTTCAGTCCAGGTTTTTGGCTGGGTGGGAATTGCTTCCCAAATCTGGGCTGGAAAGCCCCAAAATTAGGGAATTGTTTGATGGGAGGGAAAAAGGGCACAGAAAAACGGGACCTGGAAAAATGAAATTGAAGAAGACACAGAAAAAATGTGGATTTGCTCCTCTGATTTTATGGGGTTTTCTTTAAAAAAGAGGGGATTTCAGAGCAGGTTTTTGGCTGGGTGGGAATTGCTTCCCGAATCCATTCCCAGTCCTCTCCAGGGAGAATTCCCACTCCAGACTGGGAGAACTGGGTTCATTATTCCAACAGGAACATCCACGAGATGTTCCAGCTTCCCACAAAATGGGAACAAATTTTAATTACAGATATTTTTCCTAAGTTTTGATGCTTTTTTGAGCAAAAATGCCCTTCCCTGCTCCCAAAAAATGCTGGAATTTCATCCACTGACTCATCCAGCTGAGATGAGAGAGGTTGAACTCAATCC